TTATGATTTTAAATTTATGTATAAAATTATTTTATTGAAAAAATGTGCGGCTAAAAATGATTTTTTAGAGAATGAGGGGTCAAATAAGGACTATATGCATTTGAGAAAAAATGAACTTTTAGAGAATGGGAGGTCAAACATGGGCTTTATGCATCTGATTATTGGAATGAAAAGTTAAAAAGGCACGGTTCAAGGTAATTTTTTTATTTTAAAAAATAGAAAAGTAATAACCGACAATTATAAAATAGAGAGAAGATAGAAGAATTATAAAGTCAATATATTTGTGTATATTTTATTGAGAGTCAGAGCCTCATATTTATAAGGAAGAATTAGGAATACAATGATAATAAAAATTATGGCTGAAAGGGTATAATTGTCATTACTAATAAACATATAATTTACAACACCCCCTTGAATGACATGTTACAAAACATCTGCTTCATTAAAATATTGTTAAGAAAATTTAATGGGATAAAACTTGACTTAAAGAAAAAGAGTACAATTGATCCCTCTGACTTTAATAAATGAAAATTATTTTATCAAGCTATCCGGGTATTATACGCCAATGTCTTCATTTTTCCAATTCTGGCGAAGCATGTTTTGTGTTGTCTTATTATAGCTTCAAATAACAGTCTTCATATGAGATATTTATCAATATTTGATTATTATAGTAATATAATTATTCAAAAAATAGCTCTTGTTGATTTTTTTCAGAAATTTCATACATATTAGAGTATTATTTTGAGAATAAATGTCTTGTAGGTTATAAACATTTATTACACAAAGAATATATCTCGTTAAAATCTTATTAGAAAAAACTTTGTGGGAAAAATCCTAATGAAAGAAAAATAATACATTATTCTTTTAAATACGCTACAAAAATTGTCTCATTAAAAATCATGTCAAGAAAATCCAATTGGACAAAACCTTGATCAAGGAAAAAAGAGTATAATGCGTATTTATTTCCCTTCATAATAATATCACTTGAATTGTATGCTTTAGATATAAAATCTTTCAAGGATAGTATTATAACTATATAAGATAAGTTGTCTATAATCACATTTATTATATGTATTTCATGCATTATCAGACTAATAAAATAGAGACTCGTGATTATATCCATCACATGATAATTTATCTATTTATACTAGTTTTCGTGAAATTCATTATATAAAGAGTTGTACATTTCATATTATGATTTTATTTTTTTCATTTTCATTTCGTATAAGTATACACATTTAGGTGTTCGAACTGTAGATACAGAAACTTTAGGTTTCTATAATAAATTCAATTTTGCTTAGATTACATTTTTTTTTTTATCAATTATTTCTTCGATCTATATACTTCAATAAGTTTATTTTAATATTTTCATTATTCATAATATGAAGTAGTACATTATGTACAAAAATATTATCGACAATTTTTTCTTTTTGATTTTATTTATTTTGCATAACAACATAACTTAAAGAGATATTTCAATTTTCAACATATCGAATACTTGAACCTCTTATGTGTTTTATAATTTGTTATGTTTAAATACTCAAGGGTATAGGTCTACTTAATGGGACCATCTTTGTTAGTTGATCTATTTTCGTTTGGAGATTTTGGTATTAGAATTGAATACCATCATGTTTCAGGTGTTTCATAAATTTGTCAAATAAAATATTAACTAATTGTCATCCATGACGTTAATTTGAGTTAAAGTATTTAAAGTTGATTATGAGATATTGTTGATTTCTTTAATTAGAAAATACATCTAAATAAATTATCTTTCGAACATTTGGTTCAAATTATCTTTTGTGAGGATTTAGATAATGATGTATTTGTAAATTATTCCTAACTTTTTAATTTGTTCTCTTTATGCTGAGAAAATTATCCAATCAAATTAACAATCAATGAACCGCGTTATAAAATATCACCCATTTAAAATAAAGGTTCTAACTATTTATTTATTCTCAATATTTTTTACTTTTTATCTCAATTCGTTGTAGTGGATCAATTTTATGCATACTGTATTATCAAAATAATTAGAAGGAAAAATTAAGTTTTTACCATAAGCTAAGTAATAACAGAGAGAACTATGATATTGACATGATATATAATAACATTTCCTAAATAGGAATTGAAGTATTTTGTTCTTAATAGTAATGATTAAGAAATTAATCGGAGACATTTAACAAGCAATAATGTTAAGCTATTTATCGATCTCCCAACCGACACTTATTAAAATGTTGAGATTTAGGCTCAATAGTATTAACAAGACACACCGCCTTGATTGTATAATATGAAAATTACGCTCGTAATTTAAAATTTGACGGTATTTTCAAAAATTTCATGTTGTGAACACATTCAACCAACTAGCAGATCTATTAAATACAAATAATATTTAGATGGTCAATGTAGAGGGTGATATGTGATGCATTGACGGATGTGAACTGGATGTGTAAATTGATGAAAAAAAAATTCACATGTTACCAAATTGATTTCATAAAAAAAAAAATTATTACCTTCTAATTAATTCACTTTGATTTTGAGATAATCTTGCTAATAGCGTATCATAAAATAGAGAGAAGAGAAGAATGGTGAAACCAATAGATTTGTGTGTATTTTTTTTTTTAATCAGAGCCTCCTATTTATAGGAGAAAATTAACGATACAATGATAATAAAACTAGAGTTGTAAGAGTATAATTGTCATTCCCTATTAAATATATAATTTACAGCACCGACCATTTTAACGTATTACCAAACTATTTTTAGGGATTCAAGTAGTGGTGGCAAAAAAGTTCGCCGCTCGGATGGCTCGGGCTTGGGCCGAGCCCCATATTGGGGGGTCGGCCCGTAATTAATTTAAAATAATAAAAAAAATTTTTAAAGCTGCCTGCTAAATGGGGCTCGGTTCGTAATTAATTTAAAAAAAGTTAAAAATAATAAAAAACAATTTTTAAAGCTGCCTGCTCAAAGTATGCAGCTAAAATAGTTGAAAAAAATAAAAATAAAAATAAAAAAATCGAGCTGGCTCGACCCGGGCTCGGCTCAACCAGCTAAGGCTCGGGCCGAGCCTTATTTTTTTTGGCAGGACTCAACTCAACTCGGCTCGTTGACATAGATAGATTTAAGTGCCCCCTTAATTATTCCCCAGCCCCCAACTTACTAAGACATAAAGATTCCAGTTTCAACTTTCAAATATTTGCCGATTTCTGTGTTGTGTAGACGGCAACTTATTGGAAGAGACGAAGAGTGAAGAAAAAGTTATGTTTCTCCGCGTAAAACTTGTTAATCACTTAAATAAGCAGATTCTCTGTTTAAGTCTTTAAGACAAGTCCACGCGGATTCGTAGCCCCACAGCAATGTTGATTACTTCGATTTTTCAAATACTAAAATACATATAATGTTTTATTAAAAAAAAAACACCATTCTTTATTCTTTCAATGGAGGTCATCCAACTTTTAGTGAAGACTCAGTTGGGTCACCTAACTATAAAAAGTCATAGTCAACTCACTAATTTGTAATTTGTTCAATTTGATCACTCTTCTAGATGATGTTAATGCAATTGACTGTATTTTCCGATATGTGTGAAGATTTCGATGACACGACATTTTCATAGTCCATGTACGTCTTATGCAGCATTTCTTCTAATTTCCCTACAAACACAAATGTTGATTTACGAAATTATATTGATCATATAAAAACTTACTTTTTATTAGTTTTGGGTAAAATTCGTTGACAAGTGGACGTTCAACGGAATCTTAAATGGGTCATTGAACTTGTGTTCGATTTTAATTGGACAATTGAACTTTAGTATAATTTCAAATCTCACTGTTCCATAATTTGTCGTCTCTAAAATTGGTGGTAATTACTTATTTAACAACTATACAACAACAAATCTTCTAGTTAACAATGTGTGAGATGTCACCTCATCACATCATAAAAATGTTATAAACTTAATGCCATAATTTTTATTTTACTATTTTTGTTTCTATGACATTAGTAGAAGTTTACGTTATTGTGCCAACTAAGCAATTTTTGTCAGTTTGGTATATGATATGTAATGGAACGAGACATTGATGAATTTTGAACTACATTGAAGTTCAATGACTCCAATGAAACAAGTTAATGTTGAATAACCCAATTGAGAGTTTGCTAGAAATTCAATGACCACATATGAAATTTACCCCATTTTGGAATTTTCCAAGAAAGTTCATTATAATAAATGATTTACCTTTCTAGCAAGAATGAAGGAAGTAAAGAATCTTCCAAAAAAATAAGATTGTCTTTTGTGTTTGATAATAATAAATAGGGAAAATTGTAGTCGAAGTATCAAACCTTTCAATTATTTGTGGACTTTGCTCAAATCTTTAATTTGTACCATCCACGGTACCAAATCTTTAAAAAAATCGCACCTCCAGTTCTTATTGATGGTTTCCATCTATTTGACCACGAAAATCGTTAGTTGATCCCAAAAATTAAAAAAAATTATAATTTTCACCAAATAGATAAAGGCAATTTCGGAATTACACACAATT